TGAGTACATCAACAAAGTACTCTCTAGGTTCAACATGCAAGATGCGAAACCAGTGGGTACACCTTTAGGTGTTCATTTCAGACTTTCCAAAGAATAGACACCGAAGACAGAGGAAAAGCGTGCACACATGGCGAAGGTCCTGTACGCCTCAGCAATTGGAAGTCTGATGTATGTCATGGTCTGTACAAGACCAGATATTGCTCAAGCAGTGGGAGCTGTTAGCAGATACATGAATGATCCAGGCAAGGTACACTGGGAAGCAGTCAAATGGATCCTCAGATATCTACGGGGCACCAAAGGTAAAGCACTTTGTTTCAAAGATGGAGATACAATACTAACAGGCTATGTAGATGTTGATTTAGCAGGAAATGTTGATATTAGAAAGAGCACTACAGGGTATGTATATACTCTAGGAGGTACTGCAGTGAGTTGGGCTTCTCAATTGCAGAAGATAGTTGCTCTCTCCACAACTGAAGCAAAATATGTCGCTGTTACAGAAGCCAGCAAGGAAATGGTGTGGCTTCAAAGTTTCTTGGATGAATTAGGCAAGAAACAAGAAAACAATGTTTTATACTGCGACAGTCAAAGTGCTATTCATCTAGCGAAGAATCCGTCTTTCCATTCCAGAACGAAGCACATACAGATGCGGTATCATTTTATCCGGTCACTTCTGGAAGATGGAATTTTGAAGCTTAAAAAGATCAGTGGAGCTCAAAATCCGGCAGACATGCTGATAAAGACGGTGACTACTGATAAACTGAAGCTGTGTTCAGCTTCAGTTGACCTGCAATAGTATCAAGACCGGGGAAGAGCTGCTGCATAGATCGAGATGTGAAGACAGATTGAAATCAGTCTTCAAATGGGAGATTGTTAGTCAAAGAAGGGAGGATGACTTCTCTGATTGAGAGAACCAAACGACCAAAAATAAAAAGGAGCCACCCACATGTTTTGAAGGAGCCGCCCACATTTTTTTTTGACTGCAACCACCGCCCAAAGAAACCAAGCCAGCATCTTTTGACAAAGCATCAAAAGAGGATAGGTGAGCGGGTCCCAGAGCAAGAAAACAATTGTACGTGGGCCCCATCGCGGGCCCATCACTAATAAAATATTGATGCATAGTATTTTTCCAAACACTATGAATAGACCTCAAACTCTTAAGAAAATCTCATCCCAGAAACAACTCCTCTTATAGAAGAGCAACAGAGAGAAAAGAGAGGCTTAGAGAAAAGTCTTTGTGAGAGAAAATTGTGAGCAATTTTCAGAGTGGGATTGAGTTGTGAGAAAATTAAGAGTGTTGTAAAATTTCTCTTCATAGTGAAAGATCTGCAGCAGCCCGTGGACGTAGGCAATTTTGTGCCGAACCACGTAAATCTTACGTGTCCCCCATTTTACGCATTTATTTCGCTTCCTCTTAAGTCTGGAAATAGGGGAATCTGAGTAATCTCCCAACAGGGAGGACAGGGATGTATTGCAAGTATTAAGAAAGTTAAGTAATGTCACCTGATCCAGATTCCTCGATAGAGCAGGTTTTCTCAAAATTCAATCATCTCAGATTACCAAGATGGCTGACAAGCAAAGGAATAGGAAATGGTCCAAGCTATTCTTGCAGTCATTATCGTTAACCGAGGAGGTAATCTGCCAGCTTGAGGTTTCAAGCTCTGTTCATGTTACTTTTGGTCCTGAGTTGTGAAACATATTTCTCTTTGATGCTGGGTATGGTATGGTTTTCTTTTACATTATATAAGTTTCATTGTGTAAGTTTGCTGTGGAGATGGTACTCAGAAGAGGTCCTCTGCTGCCGTTTTTATTTTTATTTTTATTCTTCGTTTTATTTTTCTGTTCAGGGAGAGGCGCTTCGCAGACGGAGTGCGTTCATTTGGATATGCACTCATTTCGATGCACAGTTTTATGCATCAGGAGAGGGAGTGTTACAGGTCAAGTGTATAGTGTTTTGATATTGAATTTATGAGGATGTTGTTTTATGTTTTCAGATGACTTTCTTCTCGGTGGTTTAATTCAGTGTGAATAATTTTGCTTTTGTGAATAGTCCCTCATCTGGTTTATGCACTCTTCTACCGAGCTTAACTTTATTTCGCCCATGTGGCATTTTGTATGATTTTGATATTTTGTGAGAGGAATGCTATATTTTGTATCTATATGTGTCATTATTAAACTCTTTTTAATGAATCGCGGGGGCGCGGGGGAGGGGGGGATCTCCCACTGTTTTTATCACCCAATTTTTTTTTTTGTTTTTTGTTTTTGTGGTTAAATTATGCATTGCAAGTTTGATCTCGTTGGTAAGGATTACTCCTTTTGACATAAGTGATGGATCTATAATTGTGTCATCCTCTCTCTGAGCTCTCATGTGCAGGCACCAACAAAATATAAGAGATTTCTCATTTCGTTTAAACATCAAAGCTCAACACAAAGTAGAGTTTACGTGCAGATATTCATGTAAATAAAGTAACACAATCAAACTTTACTAACAATCTGGAGGATTATATATTAGAAACTACAATAGCCATGGAGTTCCTCTTCCAGAGAGAACACTAGAATTTTAACACAATGAATATATCGTAAACACTTTTCAACCATGTTGGCAATAAATTCGTATAGCATTAAAAAAAAATAGAAATACTATGAATCAAATCAGTCTAAGTTAGATCTCACCATCTCATCACCCAAGAAACAAGCTCCATAGGCAGGAAAACTTCTAGCAAAAGCCGGTCCAAACCCTTTATAAAGACCCTTAATCCCTCGCGAGGCAAAAATTTTCTTCAAGGCGTCGACTGAACCTGAAAACTTCGGATTCTTATAATCATCAACCTGAATCAAACTCTTAACAACATCGGTTGGATAAACTGAGACTTAAGGAACAAGTTCCAGCCAATCCTCCAGCCAAAACCAGAGAACCATTGCCGAGCTCAGAGGCATTATTTTCCCCAGCAAAATATTGCTTGAGAGTTTCATAGACACCGAAAACAACAGCATTACCAACGACTTCGCGGACCAAGGTTGGGATGAAGCCAGAGACCTCTGACGCCACCTTCGGATCTTACGACTTGTGGTAGTGGAGGTAGATTCTGATAAGGGATTTTGATCCTGTAACCTGTTCTGCAATGTAAACGGAACAAAATGAAGGCAGGCAGAAGAAAATCCCTTATAATTCATTAAATGGACACAATCCTTTTGCACGCTCTAACCTGCATTTTATCAATTCAGTTGGACAGGCAAGAAATGAAAGCGCAACTCCAGCATCAGCGCCAAAAACAACTTGCTGCTTCGCCGAGAGAACAGCACCAGGTTCATACCTCAACAGCGATTCCATCTGCGCCCTGAGCGCAAATAGAATGGCATTGAAGCCAGCCACAGTAGCAAGTGGAGCTCCCATCCCTTTATACAAGCCTTTTACTCCTTAACTGGCAATTGTTTTCTTTACAGCATCCATAGCACCATAATACTTTGGGAGTTTTCCAGGAATTGGAGCAGGCTGGCTCTGGAGCATGACTTTGATTGTATCGAAGGGGTGACCAGCGACGAGCTGAGCTGCCCCTCCAACTGTTCCGGCTGTCAGGTCCTTAGCATATTCAAAATTGATCGGGTGAAGTTCTGTGTCTAAATTTCCTTTCAACTACTCTAATTGGTAATTTTTTGTTTTCGTAATATGTGCTGTTTCCTGGCAAGCAACAACCTTTTCGAAATTTTCTCGATGTTAGCAGTTGAGAAGCATATTGCACCTTGCTTGAGATATGATTGAACGAGAAGAAGTTGCGTAGATTTAGTACCGAAATCAAAAGGAGGTTAGCGGCGATACTGCTACAAGCATTGAACGGATACAGACAGGGAGATGATATTCAGATACAAACTAAGCTTACTATACAGCAAGCAATAACCTCAAACTGCTGATTGAAAGACAACATGGATTCAGTTTTATGGATGAAAATCAATTGAAGACATCAAATCCCTGATTTATATAAACACCACCTCCTAATTACTGAAGATTGGAACCACACAACAATATAACAAACATCAAGCTTACAGTAAAGCATATGAAAATTACCATGAGAAAGTGAACATTGCAATAGTAAGCAGATGAATAAAAAGAGGTAAGAAAGTTTACCAGAAACCCAGAAGCTCTCCCACCTCTTCCTCTCTCTTCTTGCACCAGTGCTATGTATTTGAATGCTTGAAGTAAAAGCATTTATTTATTAAAAAAAAAACTTTAGGAAAGAGTAATAGATACATTTTAATTTAATTTGAGAGGCCGATCCAAACATGTGACAAAAAGTCTAACGCTGATAAAAGCATGCAAGGATGGCCATTCATCTCATGGACTTGTAATTTTTTTTTTAAATATTTAGTTGGTTTGTTAACTTCCGTGAAAGCTTATTTCTCTTGTATGATATGATTATTAGTTGATTTTATTAGCTTTAGCAATTGATTTTCATTTCTTTAATTCAAAATCCTCTGTTATTTAATAGATTGTTCATGATTAGTTTTGAGCAAGAAATAGGCAATGACACTTCAATTCTTCAGATCTATGATATGGGATTTAGAGCAGGTGGACCCCCTGGCAGGCTCCAAATACTATGGCAATAAAATCCAAGTTGGAAGTATTTTATTTATGCTTTCATGACCTTGTTTTATAGGAAAAATTTACAAAATAGACCTATTTTGCTAAATATTTAGTAAAACGGTATGTTTTGCTAAATATTTAGCAATTAGGTCTATTTTGCAAATTTCTTCTGTTTTATAGGTAAGCATTACTTTTTTGCCCCTGTATTTATGAGGTGGTTATATAATTATTTACAGCGATTAAAACAGTAACGTCACTATATTTTTTTCCCTCCAGTTCTGTAAGCACCAACAAATAATGACTCTCATTTAATTTGCTTGATCTCTAACAGAGATTTCTCATCTTTGGAAACACCAAATTAAGCACAACAGACATAGAAGCTGAATGCAAGATACTCAGAGTAACAACAATAACATGATCAAAATGTTACCAATAATCTGGAGGAATAGTATTAGAAAAGACTAAAAGTATATCAAGAATATTTTGCAACCGTATTGGGAATAAATTCATGTAATGTTGAAAAAATAATATGAAGCCTAGGATCCATATCATCCTAAGTTAGACCTCACCATCTCATAAACCAAGAAACAAGCTGCATTAGCAGGAACACTTCTAGCCATAGCAGGACTAAACCCTTTATAAAGACCCTTGATCCCTTGCGACGCGAAAATTTTCTTGAAGGCATCGATCGAGCCTGAAAACTTTGGATTCTTGTAATCATCAACCTGAATTACGCTCTTAACAACATCGGTTGGATAAACCGTTAGCCAGAAGGAAGCTCCAGCTAAGCCTCCGGCCAAAACTAAAGAACCTTTGCTAAGCTCGGAGGTGTTGGTTCCTCCAGCGAGATATTGCTTTAAGGCTTCATAGACGCCAAAGACGACAGCGTTTCCAGGGACTTCACGGGCTAAGGTTGGGCCAAGGCCTGTAAAGAGACCTCTGAGGCCACCTTCGGATTTTAGGACGTGTTTTGCAACATCCATTGGGCCTCGGTATTTTAGTGTAGTGGTTGAGGAGGTGGATTCTGATAACAAGGCATTTTGTGCTTGTAACCTGTTTGACAGTGGAAGGAGAATGTAGTTAATATTAAGATGTGCTAAGACATGTTCTCAAAGGGAAGAATAAATACAGGAAAGATAAGTTTAGGCCAGACTCAATAAATGTGATTAACAAAAGAAAAAACAACTTTAATGTTATGTAATGTGGGAACATGTGAGTTCAAATGTTTCACCAACATTTTCTAAGGTACTTGCAGATCGGTGAAGTGTAATACTTGGAAACAAATACTATATATGCAAAATGTCTAAATAATTTCTGTTCTCTTTAAGGAATAGCGAAGGAAATATTGGTCTTCATAATTAAACTTCACACTTAATGTCATGGGAAGTATTACTACAACATTCAACACACAAACAAAACTTTCCATAAACATTTTTTTTAAAGCAAAGAAAATGATGGGGAGAACCATGAATATATGACTCATATTCCCCAGAATGTGCACCGCCTACGAATAGGGAGAAATTTCCTGTCACTATATTAGTTGGAATTGGAGGCATCCTACCAATCTCGTAAAAATTACACAAAAGGGGAGATAATATTTCTCATAAGTCGTAAAATGCCATCAAAAGTTTAGGGATGTCCGTGCATGAATAAAATGAACATCCAAGAATTCTCTAAAGTATGGGAAATTCTTTCTCAGCTAAATATTCCGGATGCTAATCATCTGGGGATTGCCAAAGATTTAGAGAATATAGTGAATGGTGATTAACATACATAATGAAATGGCTAAGGAATGCAAACAATTCTTTTCCTGTGCTCAAGACTTTTTTAAAAAAATTCTTGTAGTAACATTATGATGAAAGAAACCAAACCGGCATTCAACCTGCTAGACGATTGCAATTTTCATTAGTTACAACCCAATTTTAATTTATTTTCATCAGTTTCGACCCAATGACAATTAAATTTTCTCATCGAAGATCACAATTTTCATGGGCTATAATCCATATTTTTTGTCACTTTTTGTTCTTTGATTCAATGATAAATAAGTACGCGCACTTCAAAAATCGTGATTATCATGGGCTATAGGCCCACGAGTTTTGTCAAGTTTTGTTCATTGACCCAATGACAAATAAGTATGTGTACCTCGAAAGTTATGATTCTCATGAGCTATAGTCCATAATTTTGTCCATTTTTATTCATTTTAACCTAATAGCAATTAATTATTCAAACTTTAGTTGTCGTGCTTTTCATGGGCACCCACAATTTTTGTTCATAATCATTTATTGTACCTGATGATAACTAATTTTGACTACTTCAAAATTTATAATTTTTTATAGGTCATAACCTATGATTTTGACAATTTTTTTTTGTTTTATCCCAATGGCAAGTAATTGTACTAACTTTAAAATTATCAACTTTCATCGGCTTATACCTACCATCTTTGTCAATTTTTGTTTGTTTCGACCCAAAGACAATTAAGTTTTCTTTTTTTTAATAACAATTTTCTTGGGCTATACTTAACGATTTTTGTCAATTTTTGTTCTTTTACCAATGACTAATAAGTATATGTACCTCAAATTTCATAATTTTCATGGGGTTTAACCCATAAAATTTGTCCACTTTTGTCTATTTTGACCTAATGACAATTAATTAGGTGTACACTTCAAAATTCACAACTTTCATGGACTTTGTCTGTTTTGACCTAATGACAATTAATTAGATGTACTCTTCAAATTTTGCGACTCTCAAGGGCTTTAACTAGTGTTTTTTTGTGCTTTTTCATGTGTTTCGACCCAATGGCTCTGAATTACATGTCCTTAAAATTCTTCATCTTTTATGAGCTATAATCCACAATTTTTGTTAATTTTTGTTAATTTTTGTTAATTTTTGTTAATTTTTGTTTATTTTGGCCTAATAATGAATGAGTATCACACTTTAAAATTCACAACTTTCATTTGTTAACCAACTGTTTTTGTCCATTTTTGTTCATTTCGACCAAATGACAATTAACTAAGCATATTCAAAATTTGCTATTTCATGGCCTATAAACCACAATTTTAGCCTATAAGACATAACTCCTTGACAGTAAACCTCAGCTTTTGGTGGATCAAACATTGAGAATTTAGAAAAGAGAAAGTAATGCTGCTTGGAGGTGTCAGTTTCTATGAAGAGCTCAACAAGCTGTATCTCATAAGGGCCATATGATAAGGAGATCAATCTGGTCTCCATACAACGATGGCTCACAAAATGGAATTATGTGTTCCTAATGTCTACATAAGATGAGGCATAATTCCTTAAAACGTGAAGGCAGATGGAACAAAGCAGTTAAGGGAAGTTGCATGCTTGTTTCTGGTATTAATTGAGAAATACTAAACAAAATCCCTTTTAAGTCTTCATATTATACCCCATCATTTTTAGATAGTAACACTTCACCCCAGATTATACCACATTAACTCTAATTTAAAATGCTATAAACTGCTGAAATACACAGTGGGTTAAAAATATTTAAGTAGGGCATTTTGGTTTGAGTGAAGTTAGAAGCGAATATGTTTAAAATATGGGGTTAAAACTTTGGGCTTACAGGCCAAAAAAAATGTTTGCAAATGACCACATTTATTTTCTAGACACAAACCTGCACTTTATCAATTCAGTTGGACAAGCAAGAAAAGAAACTGCAACTCCAGCCCCAGCACCGCAAACCACTTGTTCCTTCGCCGAGAGAACAGCACCAGGCTCAGACCTCAACAACGACTCCATCTGCCCTCTCACCGAAAAGAGAACTGCATTGAAGACAGCCACAGTAGCAAGTGGAGCTCCCATCCCTTTGTACAATCCCTTAGCACCTTCACCAGCTACTGTTTTCTTTACGGCATCTATAGCACCCGAATACTTTGGGATTTGTCCAGGAAGTGGGACCGGCTGGCTCTGGAGCATGACTTTGATAGTGTCAAAGGGGTGCCCAGCTACAAGCTGAGCCGCTCCTCCAATTGTTCCGGCAGTCAAGTCCTTAGCTACGTTTTCCATCTATGACACCAAAATTAAGGAGTGAATTTCGCAACTCTGATGCTATGCTTAACAAAAAATGGTCATAAAATTAGATGTAATATCAAAAAAAAAAAAAAAGAACTAGGCAAATAAATAGTCTGGTGGCATGATAAGCTAAACTAGGCAATTGCAAGGACTTATTTGCTTCTAAACTAGGCAATGGCAAGAACTTATTTGCTTAGCAAGAATGAACCTAGGAAAATAACAATGCAAGTACTTCAAGAATTGATGATCCAAACCATGCGTCTTAAATATCTCATGCATATCAAGAGGTGGTAAGTATGGTAAGTATAAAACAAGAGAAGGTAAACCTCTCAATCTATCTGAAACTTTAGAAAAAAATAGAAAAATGTTTTGCGTCTATGTTGACAGCAAGGCTAATACTGGATATTAAGTCATAATTAGCGTGGCTCGTCAACCCCTCCATTGTTCTGCCAGTCAAGTAATTTAGCTACTTTCTGATATTGAGAGGTTATGGATGAGAAAACCTTAGCGGCTTAAGATGTTAGTTATGGGCAACATTTTGCTTCTTTCCCCACTTTACCCCTTTTTTCAACACTTTTCTTTGTGGCGTTAAATCTATTAAAATATGATCATTTATCTGCAGCGCAAAAGTAGCTCTAACCAGTTCAAAGTGTAGCGAGACAGAATCACGGATAACGCAGGAGACCAACCCTGCTGACCATATCCGATTTACACTAAACTAGCAACTTTCACCCGCGCAAAATATCACAGAAACTGCCATGAAAGATGTAACCAATATGTTTAACAAATTTCATAATTCGCAGTTGTGGGGGTTAGGAAACCAGTACGGACATCATTTAACTAATAGAAACATGCCCTATAGTTGAGAGGGAAAATAATAATAATAAGATAAAATGCCTTAAGGATCCAAAATATGAGACCAAGTGAGGGGACATGTGAGGTGTCCCCCTCCTATTGCATAATGATCTGGCTTAGGCAATAGCAGTGCTCTTAATCAAATATATGAAACCCAACCTACTTGATTATCCAATCGGACATCTGATCCATCAATCTTGGACTAAGCACAACTGCCGATATAACTAAGCTAACTCTTTATCATTTCCTCCATCCTCTCACGTTTAAAAGCAATCTAGATGGATAACTAAACATGGGTATGATGGTGGAAATAGTAAAATTATCATCCATCGTCAAGCATCAGTAGATGCAAAAAAAAAAAAAAAAGAAGCAAAAAAATCCCCCAAAAAAAGAAATTTCAAACTTCTAAAGCCTTCAGAAGAACAAAACAACTAGTGGGTAGTTGGCATTACTCTAATCTCTTTGAGAAAACTAAACAAAAGGGTGTAGTTTGTCGTTCAATCCAAGGATCCCCACACCAAAAAACTGAAAATGAATTGATATAGGAACTATCCCTTGTTCCAAGCATTTGATCTAATGATAGAATTTTTTTTAAAAAAACTAATAATCAATCCATAAGCCCAGAAGGGCACAAATCATTGAAATTGCCAGAAACCCAAAATAGACGAATAAAGAAGGGGCACGAAGTTTACCAGAAACCCAAAAAGCTCCCACCTTTCTCTCTTCCTTGCTGTGTATGAGAGAGAGAGAGGAGCACCAGCGCTTCGTATTTAAATACTTGAAGAAATGTATTCTTTGTGCTTCCCCATATTAGTCATATTAGTTAATTTTAGATCTTTAATATTAGTCGCCCAGATCATTGAAATTGCTACGACCCCCTCCCCACTCGATTATTTAATCTTGCTACACTTGCTCCTGATCGGATGATCAACTCGAAACCACTTTATAAGAACTAGAGAAGGTAATAGCAATTTTGATAATTTAAATGACTAAATTGAAATAACTTATAATAACAATTGGGACTAATGTAGAAAAAAAAAACCAATTATTATTAATTGTAGCAGAATATATTTTAGTAAAGACAGCAGAATACATTTGGTTTGAGAGGGGTGACGAGGCTAACACTAATATGGAAAAGATGCGTACAGATTCGAAGTCCACCACCATCAGGTTTGGCTTCATTTGGTAGGTAGCCCCCCAAAGACAATAAGAAAACGATCGGGCCCAATTAATGTGCGGGTCCATCTATATACTTACTATTACTAAAAGTTGTTACCCTTCAATTCACCACTTGGCAAAAATAACACTTGGCAAAAATAGCCAATACCATTTTAAACAACACTTGGCAAACATATCAATTGCTATCTTCTTGCAAGTGCCACTTGTCAAGTTTCTACAAAAGTTCTCCATATTAAATTTAAAATAAAAAATAAAAAATAAAAAGTTCTCCTTGAAATTTGAACTAACTCTCCCTGCCTTTTCAATTTTCCAAACAAGACGCTTCGTAAACTGTTTGAACTGTTTGTATTTTTTTTGCTATATTATTTTTTGTATATTAAATAAATCCGTGTATCGCACGGGCCTGAAACTAGTTGGAATTTAAACCCGGACCTTCCACCCGCACACATGGGAGAGAGATTAGTAGATTTGTCTTTGATTGCGCGTGTACGGGTGAGATATCAAATGAATATCAATTATGTCTTTGCCGTGTCATATTTGCTTGTCGTTTCACTTCTATCAGACCCCACCACCCTGATCACGTAATGCGGTTAGAATGATGATCGGATGTCATCAAGAGACCAAGGGAACAAAAGCGAGGGCCTCCGAGTGTGAGGGGGGGTTTTACGAACATCATTGGGTACGCGAAAGGTATTCGAGTGTAATTTATTTACCCACCCCCCCAAAAAGAAGTATCAACCATGTTACTTTCAATTTTCGATCGCCTGAATCAACTATAGCAGTGGGCATGTACCCTAGCACACTTATTATCAAACTACTAATATATTCCTAATACAGGCGGAAGGAAAAAAATAAAAAAAATTATTTCTACCAGGGATACTTTTCCAAGCATTGTGGAAACGTTGAGCAAACATCGCGACTTTGCTCTTCACATTCAATGATAGGAGGGTCCCGAACTGAAGGAAAATCGAAAATAGACAACCGTAAGTAACGGTAGTAAATACGAACCTTTAGGCTTTCATAACAAAGGAGAAGTCAAAGCAAGCACCACGCGTGTGACAACAGATTCCATGCTGAATTATATTCAGAGAAACTCATCGAGCCCTACGTGAGATTAAATAAAACGTATACTCCTCCACTTGACAAGGCCAACTACAACTCTACAAGACAAAATTCTCCATTGACTGCGGATACAGTGATTGTTCCGTAGTTGATCACATAATATTTGAATCCACAAAGGAATAATTTAATGTGCAAATGAAAACTATCAAGTAAACTACTTATCAGAAATAGATGAACCTCAACGTTATACATTAGACTGATGCAGATACTTCAATTACTCAAACAAGCAGCAGTCCCCGAGGTACTTGGAAAACCTAAGAAGCCTACGTCACTAATACTGCAAAATGATATTCACACACAAAAAAAAAAAAATCTTGTGAAACGCAAGTAATTGCTATACAACTCTACAATCATGCCTCCTCTCTATTCGTACCATCCAAATTAGTACCATCAGAAGAATCGGACGCTTTAGGTCTCGACGTTAGCTTTGTTTCCAGCAAGAATGAGGGATATCTCCAGTCCTCGACTAAAAGCTTGATTAAATAGAAGGCGAGACTGGAAAGTCGAAACAAAGGGGAACCACGCTAGTACCGCTATAGGCACAAATATCACCACACCCATGCCAGCATCATACATGCGAGCAATTTCTCGCACTGAGTGCCACAAACCCAACTTTCTGACAAATCTCTTCCATGTGATGGAAAGCTGTCAAGGTTATGCAACAAGACAAAGAGTAGGAAAATAGGCATCATAACCAGAACCACGAGATAAATAGTAAATTATGACAAATATTTTTGTAAAAATACGAGAATCAAGTAAAATTTATGACAATCATTTGGTTGGGGAAGTTCCAAAGTATTGAGCATATTGCATCTCTATACAAATGCGATGGGTACAACATACCCATATTCGTCAAAATAGGAATGCAAAATCAGATAAGGAGCGGATTATTTTTCAAGTGTTTATTATCATTTTAACAACCTGCAGTCCTCGAACCCAAATAGTAGATCTGGCACGTTTCTAAAGGTTTGGACTAAACTCCATTTGCACGAAAGTAGACCAGGTACATATCTTCTTACATTCCAAAGGTGATGGATGGATCTTTAGTCGAGGAAAATGAAGAATTAAGAAAAACCAAATCTAAACAGGACAGGCGTGTTGTGTACGGACTTATGGTTGTGTTTTTATGTCGGCTACAAAAACCAAAACTAGAGTTCATAACATGATGGTGACACCCTTTACAGTAGTCATGATGCATAAGCAATGGTATAATAAATCAGATGACTGAAGGCTGATCTTACATTGTTCGTACGTGTATTATTCAGAAGTAAAAACTTCTACTTCTAGTTCATATTGTTAAATAGTAATAAAAAACTGATGGTTTATTTTATCACATATGCAACCCTTTGATGAATTGTAAGGATGCTCTTACATTCACGATGAGTCTTTAATTATTTCCTTAAGACAGATATTATTATAATCAGTAAATAAGGTGAATCTGTTCAGAATAATAAACTTACACATAGAATGGCCCAGACGGTAGGAATGAATGCCAAAACACTAGCAAACAAATCAGTAATCGAAAGCCTTGTAAATGCAACAATCAAAACCACTGCTGCAATAATGCTTAGTGAGGCAACTCCCTGTATGAATCGCATCATAAGCTGGAAATTGGTTGATTTTTTGGGACTAAATGTGAAGATCTGCACATTCAACAAGTTAATCTTTAAGAAAAGGAGGAAAGTGACGAGAAATGTTGTCTTCCAGCAAAATGGAGGGAGATGACATACTAACCTTAAATATAAGTACAAGTCCAAACAGCACAGCCCATGAAAAACCATAAATCTGGAGTGAAAATGGAGCAGCCATTAATTTAAGCACATATATGACGAAAGTGGTGCAAAGTAAAAATTAACTCCGCAAATAAAACTGTTGTACCATCAAGATCATTTTGTTCAAGGTAAAGAATAAACTATTGGAAGGGCTGTACTGCATGTCTCCATAAAAAGATTGTTTAAAACACTGGCTATAGGATATTCATTAATTACAAATTTAAAAGTCTAAATTTTCATCCTGGCTAAACAAGGAACCAATTAGAAGGTTGGACATCAAATTTTCATTTTGCAGTTCTGATGTCGTAAAATAAAACACCAAAAATTTATTTCCTAAACTGAGTGAATGACATTCAGACTTGTGATATTCAAAGACTTATGTATCAATTAGCATACTTATAGTTTCAACAAAATAAACATTTAGTGATACCAAAACAATTTGGTCGCTCACAATGAATTTTCCTTTCATGGACAATTTTCAGTGATGGAACTATAACGATGATGCATATTGATTTCTCACGCTGAAGGATCTACCACATCTAATGAAGTAGATAATAAACTTGAAGAATATGAATAGGAAGTTCTATATTATTATTATTATTATTATTATTATTATTATTATTATTATTATTTTATTGTTTTTTTCTTTTTTTTTAGAATGATGATCCGTGCAGGAGACAAACCATGAAGAGTACATGCTTGTATCTGCCTTCAGTATCAATGAATTTTCTATGCAAAATAACTGCTTTTGACTTACAGCACAAGACCAGCATGTAGAAGCATGAATTTTCATAAGATCATGTAGACGCATGAATTTTCATAAGATCATGCTTATAACTAAATTTAGTTCTTAGCAAAAGTAGATATTGTTTAGATAAAATGAGCGCGCGCACACTGCACAGGCTGTACAAATGAATCAGCTATTCCAGGAAAAAACATAAAAAGTAATGAAAAGAGGCTAAAGTACCGCAATTGAAGTATCGTTTCCAGTGAGATTGAGCTTGTATACAATCCCATATTGGAATATGAAAAATCTGAGACTTAGAATAGTCTCCAAGATGCGGCCCCTCAATGTATGGATATGGACCTGCATATACAACGTGCAAAGCATAAAGGCATGAGAACCCCCAAACTTATAAAACAGTTAAAATGTTTTAATGTTTGAGGTGCAGTATAAATGTATTCAACTCTTACTATTCCTATGTCAGACCGAAAGCAAAACACAGGGCAGAAGCATATATTTAGGTCATTGTAACCATCCGACTGAATAAAACACAATTGCTAAACAAAGATGCCACCACCTAAAGACCAACTATCTTCACTAAAATGACCAGTCTGATCTCCACAACAACAGACTAGTTACAAATGTTCGACAGATGTAAGAAAGAAACAAGGTACAAGATCAGAATGAAATTTGCAGGAAGGTAGACATATGCAACTAAAGTGCAGCCTAGCAAACATCCATGAGAAAAAAGCATACTGCAAATCGAATACAATATAATTGCAAGAAGAAATTACAGTGAAGCAAAAATATAACCAGCAAACAAAAATAAAACACATGCCTGCATGTCATTAGTGAGGAAAGCATGCTCGTAAAGGAATGGGTTGTGATAGAGCTATTAATCAATGAACATCTCAAATTAACAAGATATTTTGCAGGAAGGTAGACCATGCAACAAGAGTGCAACCCACCAAACATCCACGAGAACAAAAGAGTAATACAGATCGAACTAAACGTAGTTGCAACAATGAATTACAGCGAAGCAAAAATATAACCAGCAGCCCAAAATGAAATCTTATTGATAAAATGATGCTCAAAAAAGGAATAGGAAAAAATTATGTGATAGAGCTATCAATCAAATAATATTTTTAACTAGCAACAAGATAG